AGAATTACTTCAGGTAAGATTATTTGATTGTGGTTATTTTATAGTAAACATCCATATATAAGTGATATAATGCTTTAAGAAAGGAAGTGTGTGTGATCAAAGGTGCATTGCTTACAGCATATATACAAAGTGCAGGACAAGGAGTCGCACTCCTTGCAATTGCACATTTGACCTGTCCAACTCCCAACGTGGCACAGTGGAGTGCTTTGAATTGTTCACAAATACCTGTCACTAATATTCAAGGAAAGCTTTCTGTTTCCTGCTATAACTTAATGTACGATGAGGTAGTCCTTTAAGATGGCTTCCGAGATAACCTGTCAATATCTACAAAGTTCTGATCTAGGGGGAAGATATAACATGATTTTTATGATATGACAGGAAAAACACCTAAATATAGTCATGCTTTTCTATGATTTCTAAAATTGACTTAATTTGTAGGTTTGAGGCGCAGTTGCTTGATTAATTTTGGGAATATTACCAAACAAGTAGAGGCTAGGAAACTGCAATAGGCAGCTAAGATTATGTGGAATTAAGAGTTGTTTGGATAGAAATATCAAGTTGGGTGTTAAGTTAGTAATACTAATTGTAACTTCACTATGGTTGCTCCAGAAAGCTTGGTAAAGTTTCTCCTACTTGGCGAAATTTTTTCTGAATCCTTTTCACTTGCTGAATGAAAACAATTTTAATAAAGAGAAAAGGAAAACTTATCCCCACAAAAAAATCAATCCTTGAAATCATGAACAATAAAGGGATCCATTTGCACCAACGTTTAAGCATTAAGCATAAGACGTATATAGAAGAAAAGGAGATGAGGTACTGATCGTTTCTTGTGTTCTTAAATAGTTCAATGAGTTAAGTTAGTAGGAGCATAGCCATATGTTGGCTGAACAATGCCTGGGGGGGGGGGGGTGGTGTGATATTTTAGTTTTTTTTTTTTTTTTTGCATTTCTTGAATTTTTTCAAGAAATTGTAGTCATGATATAGTCTTTAAAAAATAATGCCTTAAAAGATTCTCAGTTGTTAAATGTTATCTTCTTTTGAAGCTGTTAAGACATTAGGAATGAGATTGTGAAGGATGCATTTGAATAATATCATCCTGCTTTTCAGGGTAAGCTTAATGACAAGAGTAATGACAAGAATAAGGGAAAGAGTAAGGGAAATAATAAGGGAAAGAGTATGGAAACCAGCTTGTCTTCCCTGATCCAATCACTTGCTACTATTGATCGTAAGGCTTTACATTCTTCGTAGATATTTAACTGTAAATACTGAGGTATATGATTTAGCTACTTATCCTTTAGTTGAGGTAATGTGCTTTCTGGCAGTGGATCCTTCATACACCAGAGTTACCATGGATCTCTTAACTGAAGGGCTTAACGAAGGGATTGCGGTCATAGGAGCAGTACGGTGCTGAGTATAAAGCTCCATCGTAAGTTACTTCATCTTGGAGGAACCCAAATGAATTAATCATTTACTACTCTGATCATTTCCAGCATTTCCTTAAAAGTGAAAGTTACTTATCTGTGCAGCCCTACTTAATGCCTATATACTTATTTCTCAATGTGTAATCTTATTCTACAGATACTATGTGATCTGTGACTCTGATGAGAAAAGTTTTGTACTTACAGTGTTCGGCATACAGAAGGAAGCAGTCAGCACTACTTTATGCTATTTTAATGTTTCTTAATTCCGAGAAAAAAGTGGTCTAGTGAAGTAGAGTATTTTGGAGATACCGAGATAAGAAATCAACAAATAAATTTCAGATATTGACCCGTTAGTTTGCTGCTAAACTGCTGCAGCACGACATGCCTAAAAAATAAGCGAAGGATCTTTCCTACCTTTTATCACTTCCTAGATGAAAAATTACATGAAGGGGAGGCACCTCACTTCTTTTATACGTAATCAAACACTAAAGATAAAAAAGAGAGAATAGTAAAGTGAGTTGGGATTTCAAAAATTTTCTGTAAATTGGAGTAGTTTGTTTCCTATATCATACTATGGAACACTATTTTTGTTTTGATTTTCTCATTCGTTCATACTTCAAGAAAAAAGATTTCATTTGTGGCTTAAATAATCCATAAGTGAGCCTGAACATCTCTTTGTAATGGTGATAATCTCATTCAAATCTGATTTTGGTTTATGTGAGCCCCACCAACCAAATTATTATGTATGTCATATCTTTGAATATTTATCCTACTTCAGATTTTCATGGTGACATATAGCCTACCATATTTGATCTTAGGCATATTTATATACCTAAGTACTCGAAATTGGCCTACGAAGTGATGATGTTTGATGACGATCTTGATTTATTAGCTTGAATTCTAGTTTAACTTGTGATGATTGCTTACTTACACACGTGATTAGTTGTTTCAGGAAATATTGATGGAATATGAATTGGGAAGATGGAAGAGGGAGCAAGGAGATGCAGGAAAATGGCTAAGGCAACAATCACCAGTGGCTGGCGCACTGGTTGGTGCGGCGCGCCAATGATGGTACTTCAGAGAGCCTGTTGAGGCGTACTGAGAGGCGCGACGCGCCAGGATGGGAAACTTCAGAGGCACTGCCCAGGCGCTCTGCTTGGCGCGGCGCGCCAGGAGCTAAATGAGGGAAGAAACCTTGAGGAGCGATAAGGGGTGCGACACGCCACCTGTTCTCCGACTTTTCCAAGTTTTCAACATTAGATAGGATTCCTAATTTGAGTGGGATTGGTTACCAAATTTTCCTACTAGTATAAATAGATCCTTAGGGCTCCATAAAAAGGGGTTGGACTTTTGATTTAGTGTGCAAGGGCAAGAATTCAAGTTTGTAATAGGTTTTGATCCTTTAACTCTTCTATTTTCTTGTTTTCTAATAGCATGAGTAGCTAAACGCCCTAGTTCTGGGGCTGTAGCTATGAATTATGTGTTGAATGTTTGAGGCTTTATGAATTGATTTTCGGTTGTCAATCCAAATTACCTCTATATTCTTGTTTTACTATTTTATGCTTGCGCACCATAAAATAAATCTAGTGTCTAATCTTAAAATCGAACAAGGAGGGATTAGATAGACCAGAGAATATAGAGAGCTCGGTCCACCCATTAAATTGAGGTGATTAGTGTTCAGGAGTGACGCCTAGACGAACACCTTGCTTAGTTACGAAATAGGATGAAATATACATGCTCGCCAGTTAGTTTATTTATCCCCGTTCAACGATGTAGTTAGATGGCTAATTGGGGTAGGCGGCGAGAGGCGAACCACCCGGACCATACTATCAACCCTATAAACCAGTAATTTGACAACTGAAGTGATTTAAGCCGATGATATGATGCATGATATTCAATGTATGCTGCAGCCCTGAAATTGTTTTTAAACTTGCTTGAACCATATTATATCAAAGTTGTTCACAATTAGTTACTTTCATTTAGTGCATAATTATTAGTAGATACTTAATTAAATCAACAACTCTTAAAAAGGTTACTTGGTTACTTTTAGTTGTAGAATTGAGTGAATATAAGTTGATCATAAGTCCCTTGGGAATGATAACTCGTTTCTTGAAATATCTATACTACTTGTGTGACCACGTACACTTGCGTGTATTTTGGGAGTAGCAAGTTTTTGGCGCCGCTGCCGGGGACTTAGAAATTGATTTATATTCAATCTTCTTAAGTCTACACTCAGTCTATCAGATATTAATTACTTGATCTTAGCTTGTGTATTGTAGGTACTTGATTTTCAGGTCTGGCTCGGAAAGGAAATCTTGTCGAACCTTACAATGAACTGGAAAGAGTTTTACGCCAGCGCAGAAAAATGAACTAGGGACGATAAGGCAAATTGGGGTTAGGTATTCCGGGAAACTTTGATGATGATAATCAAGAAAATGTGAATAACCCGAAAAACGTGAATAACCCAAGGAACCCAAATAACCAAGGAGGACCGCCTGTTGTTCCCGCAAGACCAGTCCGTGATGTGGCAGTCCCACTCACAGCCAACTTAGCATCCAATATCAGGAAACCTCCACCGAGGGTAGATTTGAACTAAAGCAGAACATGATGCATATCCTCCATACTAATGGACAATTCACTGGTCTCCCCCATGAGGATCTTCAAGTCCATCTTAGGACTTTCATAGACATTACCAATACATACATCCCAATTGGAGTCTCATCAGACTATGTAAGGTTGACTTTGTTCCCATACTTATTGTTAGGAGCTGCAAGGCGTTGGTTAGACTCTGAGCCACCAAACTCCATCACTACTTGGGATGATCTAGCAAAAAAGTTCTTGAGTCAATTTTTTCCCTCCAAGAAAACCGCCAAGCTGAGGGGTGAGATAATAAACTTTGCTTAAAAGCAAGGAGAGGACATGTACCAAGCATGGGCGCGTTTTAAACAAATGTTGAATGCTTGCCCACACCACATGCAAACCAATGAGGTACTTTGTCATACTTTCTTTGAAGGTTTAGACTATAATGCTCGTTCTCTTCTTAATAGTGCAGCAGGTGGACAAGCCCTAGCCATAACAAGTGAAGAATTTTTCGCCTTACTCGATAAACTTTCTGAAGGGAACCAAGGGTATGAGGGTGAAATGTCTAGAATTCCAACCCAAAAGGCTGCAGGGATCTTAGATGTAGACTAAGCTACTGCCACTAATGCTAAATTAGATGCAATGCAACATAACATTACATTGCAATTCAAACAAATAGCTCTAAATCAGGCCCCGGTAAATGTAGTACAACAGGCAGCAAATTGGTGTGAGGTATGTGGTAGTGGAACTCATGAAACAGAGCAATGTGAAACAAACCTGGATTCCGTACACTATGTGGGTAATGCGCAAAGGAGTGGAGTGCAACAGAATTATGGTAACACTTACAACCGTAGTTGGAAAAACCATCCTAACTTCTCATGGGGTGGGAACCAAAACCAAAATTAGACGCAAGGGGTTAACCAATACCGTTATCAAGGGGCTGGGCAACAATACTACAATTCTAACCAAGGCTCAAATTCTAGTGCACCAAAAGGGGGGATGACTAATGAAGAGCTACTCCAAAAGCTCATGACTGAAATAGGGACCAAATTAAATGCTAGACTAGATAAGCATGATGAGAACATTAGAAACATCCAGATGTCCCAAATGAGTTTAGAGAAACAAGTTGCACAAGTGGCTAATTCTTTGAACTTGCATCCCCAAGGTGGACTGCCGGGCGATACTGAACCCAATCCAAAGCAATTGCATGCGGTAAGCACTAGAAGTGGGTTGAAATTAGAGGAACTATCTCCAAAGAAGAGAGACACTGAGGCAAGTAACAAAGAAAAGAATGTGGAAGAGGTAGTAAAAAGCTCCAATGTTGAGGTACCAATTCCTCAAAAGAAATTACCACCTCCATTTCCACAGAGGCTCAAAAAGCTGAATGAAGATGAATGCTTCGGTAAGTTTCTCTCTCTCCTTAAACAGGTTCACATTAATCTACCGTTGGTTGACATTTTGCAGGGTATCCCGAAGTATGCTAAATACGTGAAGGACATAGTGGCCAACAAGAGGAAACTCACTGAATATGAAACTGTAGCACTTACTGAGGAGTGCAGCTCAAGGATTCAAAACAGATTGCCCAAAAAGTTAAAAGATCCGGGTAGTTTTACTGTGCAAATTACAATTGGACAAAGTGCTTATGCCCGGGGGTTGTGTGATTTGGGGGCAAGTATAAATTTAATGCCTCTATCTTTGTACCAAAAGCTTGGGTTGGGTAGTCCAAAGAGAACCATTGTTATTCTCCAACTTGCAGATAGATCCATTGCTAGGCCAGAAGGGGTGGTAGAAGATGTGTTAGTGCAAGTAGGTTCATTGATTTTTCCAGTAGATTTTGTGGTCTTAGACTTTGAACCCGATTCTGAAGTTCCATTTATCTTGAGATGACCTTTCTTGGATACGGGTAGGGCATTGATTGATGTAGCAGCTGGTCAACTAACCATGACGGCACATGATAAGGTAGAGGTATTTGATGTTTATCATGCTTTAAAATTACCTTCTATTTATGAAGAGTTGTCCGCTATTACTGTAATTGATACTATAATAGAGTCACAGTTAGTTTTGCCCGAAGACCCATTAGAAAGAGTGTTAGTGGGTCAACAGTTAGAGGGAGATGTTGAAGTTCAAGAGACTGAATCATTCTTAAATCTAGCAGTAGTAGAAACTCGTAAGATTTAAGTAGAGTCTTTAAATCGCGAGTTAGGACCCCCTCCAAAGCCATCAATTGAAGAGGCTCCTAAGTTGTAGCTAAAAGCCTTGCCAGCCCACCTAAGGTATGCTTATTTGGGTACTAAAGAAACTCTGCCTGTTATACTTTCTGCAAAATTGTCTGATTTACAGGTTGAGACAACATTAAGAATCTTGAAGCGGAGGAAGAAAGCAATTGGATGGTAAATGGCTGATATTCATGGGATTAGTCCAGCATTGTGTATGCACATAATTTACATGGAAGATGATCACAAACCAAGTGCACAACATCAACGTCGTCTAAATCCTTTGATGAAAGAAGTAGTACGAAATGAAGTGATCAAGTGGTTAAATGTTGGGGTTGTTTACCCAATCTCTGGTAGTAAGTGGGTAAGTCCCATGCAATGTGTTCCCAAGAAGGGAGGTATGACTGTGGTAAGGAACAAAAAGAATGAGCTAATTCCTACTAGAACAGTGACATGGTGGCGAATTTGTATGGATTACCGGAAACTTAATGAGGCTACTCAGAAAGATCACTATCCCGTTCCCTTTATTGATCAAATACTTGACAGGTTAGCAGGGCAGGAGTACTATTGTTTCCTAGATGGCTATTCAGGTTACAACCAGATCCTAATTGCACCCGAAGATCAGGAGAAGACCACATTCACTTGTTCGTATGGTACATATGCTTTCAAACGCATGCCATTCGAACTTTGCAATGCACCGACGACTTTTCAAAGGTGTATGGTGGACATTTTTCATGATATGGTGGAAGACTTCGTCGAAGTGTTCATGAATGTTCTCCGTCTTTGGGAAGTCTTTTGAGGTATGTCTCCGAAATCTTGATAAAGTGCTTGCTAGATGTGAAGACACTAACTTAGTTCTAAACTAGGAAAAGTGTCATTTTTTGGTAAGAGAGGGGATAGTGTTGGGACACAAGGTATCTAAATTTGGTTTGGAGGTTGATAAGGCTAAGGTAGAAGTTATAGAGAAACTGCCCCCGCCCATTTCTGTAAAAGGTGTGCATAGTTTTCTTGGTCATGCAGGTTTTTACAGGCGATTTATCAAGGATTTTTCCAAGATAGCAAGACCCATGTGAAGCCCTCTGGAGAAAGAGGTGAAGTTTGCCTTTAATGAGATGTGCTTGAAGGCTTTTGAGATGCTGAAGAGGAACTTAATTGAGGCTCCCATCTTAATTGCCCCTAATTAGGAATTACCTTTTGAACTCATGTGTGATGCAAACGATGTAGCAGTGGGTGCAGTGTCGGGACAAAGAAAAAATAAAGTGTTCCACTCAATCTATTATGCAAGCAAGACCCTTGATTCTACACAAGCTAATTACACAGTAACTACTGAGAAGGAGATGTTGGCTCTAGTGTTCGCCTTCGACAAGTTCAGATCGTATTTGGTAGGTACTAAAGTGATTGTTTTTACTGACCATGCAGCTATTAGGTACCTATTCAACAAGAAGGATGCTAAACCAAGGCTGATTCGATGGATACTGCTTCTCTAAGAATTCGACCTCAAAATCAAGGATAAGAAGGGTACGGAAAATCAAATAGCAGATCACTTATCTAGGTTGGAAGATTTTTCACATGTGAATGAAGGTGAGCAAATTCGGGAAGAGTTTTCGGATGAACAATTAATGACATTGGATATCTCTGAAGTGCCATGGTATACAGACATAGTAAATCTGATAGTAAGTGGTGATTATCCTCCGGGTGCTACCACCCAACACAAGAAAAAGCTTAACCATGATGCCAAGTTCTACATTTGGGATGAACCATTCTTGTTCAAACAAGGGGTAGACAGGGTAGTGAGAAGGTGCATCCCGGAGTATGAGGTTCACAAAGTGCTGGAAAGTTGTCATGCTAGCCCATATGGACGTCATCATGGAGGAGAGCGCACTGCTCATAAGGTACTACAATCTAGTTTCTTTTGGCCCTCGCTATTTAAAGATTTGTTGCTTTTGTGAAGGGTTGTGATAAATGCCAAAGGTTGGGTACTATTTCAAGAAGACATGAGATGCCGCTCAGTAACATTTTGGAGGTGGAAATCTTTGATGTGTGGGGTATTGACTTCATGGGTCCCTTCCCACCATCTAGTGGAAACCAATACATTTTTGTGGCTGTGGATTATGTTAGTAAATGGGTGGAGGCTGTAGCTTTTCCTTCCAATGATTCAAGGGTGGTGATAAAGTTCATCAAAAAGCACATCTTCACTCGCTTTGGCACTCCAAGGGCAATTATAAGTGATGTAGGTAATCATTTCATTAACCATCTTGTTAAGAATCTTCTTGCTAAGTATGGTATTCGTCATAAGGTTGCTACAACTTACCATCCTCAAACAAATGGTCAAGTGGAGGTTTCAAATAGAGAGGTGAAGCAAATTTTGCAAAAAACGGTGAATGCGCAAAGGAAGGATTGGTCTGATAAACTAGATGATGGGTTGTGGGCATATAGAACTGCGTACAAGACACCAATAGGGACTTCTCCCTATCACATAGTGTTTGGGAAAGCATGTCACCTTCCGGTGGAATTGGAGCATCAAGCATATTGGGCAATTAAGAAGCTGAACTTAGACCCCGAGCTAGCCGGTAAAAAGAGAGTGAATCAGCTGCATGAACTTGAGAAGTTTAGGCTCCATGCTTATGAGAATGCCAAGCTATACAAAGAAAAGACGAAGAGGTGGCATGACAAGCACATTGTAGGTCGTACCTTCAATCCAGGAGATAATGTACTACTCTTCAACTCTAGACTAAGGTTATTCCCCGGAAAACTAAGGTCGAAGTGGAGTGGTCCATTCAAAGTGGTTAGAATGACTCAACATGGGGCAGTTGAACTTCAAGGTAAGACTGGCCCTACGTTCTTGGTCAATGGGCAAAGAGTGAAGCATTATTTCGGTGAGGATTCAGATCGTGATCGGGAGGTTCTTGAGTTAAATGATGAATGATCCAAGTTGCGTCGTGCCGCGACGTTAAATCAAGCGCTACTTGGGAGGCAACCCATGACCAATGTGGAATAAATAGGGAGTTCGTGTGTGAAATTTTGATTTGTAGCATAGTTTTAATTCGTAGAATCTAGGAAGTTCTTTTAGTTATTAGTTTTAGATAAAATTGTATTTTTTCATTCTTTGTAACTTAGAAAAAAAATAAAAAAATCTGGAGCCAGGCGCACTGTCTGGCGCGCCGCGCCTGGCGTCAAAGTTCAGAGACGCCTCTCAGGCGCTCTGAGAGGCGCGCCGCGCCTGGAACCACACGACAGAGCGATTTCTCATGCGCGCTGAGAGGCGCGTCGCCCCTCCCATCGCCCCACTGCCTAGAATTTTAATTTTTGGGCCATGACCCAAATATCACCCGACCCACCTCTTCAAAACCCCTAAAATCCCAAATTCATCCACCATTTCCTCTTCTCCCCACCGACCCACACCTCTTCCAATCCCCCACATTCTTCCCTCTTCATCTTCTTCAGTTTCCACTACCTCCATTAACCCCCACTCATTTTCTTCCACATTCTTTCAATTTCCCCAACTAAAATCCTTCCCTTTCCCCAAAAATCAACCATTCTTTCTACTCACCTTTTCCATCCTCACAAAACTCCACACTCATAACTCCAACTTCCCTTTTTCTCCAAATTACTATCTCTCACTCCACCGCTTTCTCTTTTCTTCCCCTACATTTTGTCTTCTCTTAACAGGTGGTCATGGCTCCAAAAGCCACAAATGTGGCAGGTTCCAAGCGGAATAGGAAGGGCGAAGCATCCGGGTCCTCTAGCGGTCGGGACCCGGTACAAAAATTTGGCAAAAAGGCTATAGAAAGGTATGGATGGGACTGGTTTGCATGTCAACAAGAGGCGAAGTATATGGGTGACGAATTTGTAAAGCGGTACAGTTACAGTCACAATTTCCCAATATATATCAGACTGTTATTGAGTTGGGTTTACGATTCATCTTTGAGAATTCGGGAGATTGCAATTTGACGTTAGTGAGAGAATTTTATGCTAATTGGCTAACTGAAACGAAATATAAAACTGTGCCGGTTAGGGGGAAAGATGTCAGGTTTTCTGCCAGAATTCTGAATGAGTTGTTAGGAACCCCGAATTGTGACCCTGATGAGTTTAATGGCTTGAAGGATAAACCTCATTATAGGGATATCCGACATACCTTGTGTGGGGTTGATTCGACTGCTAGGTGGGAGCGGAGTAAGGATACTGGGAGGCATAATACCCTCTATTTTGCTAACTTTAATCAGGTTGCTCGGGTGTGGCTGAAAATAGTGTGTAGTGTGTTGTTGCCTGCTAAACATGTAACTGAGGTAACTCGGGATAGGGTGGTGTTAGTTTACATGCTGATGAAGGGAATGCCCATTAATGTTGGGGCAATTCTGAGGCAAAATATGATGAAATTTTGGAACAATATGCGGTGGAGATTCTGTTATGGGGGGTTGATCACCCGTTTTCTGATGGGTGAGGGTATTGAAGAGGAGACAGTGGATATGACTGTTGCTTATCACCCGGACCTGACGGGTAAGTTAGTAGATGTGACTCGAACTAAGGCACTAGATCTGTCACATGGACCTGTCTTGTCTGCTCAAGAGAGGCAAGCCCGTGATGACAGCGTCATGGCAAGAATGTTTGGTATGGCAGAGCTGCAGTTGCGCATAGGAGGGCGTCCAGTTACAGACGCGGAGATGGAAACCATGGCGGAGCGCTACCCCTTGACTGAGAGTGCATCTTTCTTATGCTGGACTGGTCCCGCATTTTTAGAGCCTTTGGATGATGTTGAGGCTATTGCTGACGAAGCTATGGATGATGATGAGGCGGATGACGCGAATGCGTTGATGGTGTTTGATCACGATGACGGCGAGGCCTATGGGCCTGAGGGAGTATTCCTAACTCTATACTTTGCTTTCATTGTGCACTGAGGACAATGCTTATTTTTAAAGTATGAGGTGGGGTAATATGTCTCTGTTGTATATAGTTGTTTACTGCTTTATCGAGTCTAGTAGTAGCTTTTAGTAGTAAATTTGTTTTTATTTTTATTTGTTTATTTTGGGTTCCTCAGCGTTTGTTTTCGGTACTTTTACTGAGGATTGTCCCTTTGAACCAAATAGGACTAGTTTATTGCTTTGTCGAGTCGTAGAGTCGTCATAGGAGTGACAGTTACCAATGATGGATGGATGACGACCGTCTTAAGGGTAAATTAGTCAC